AAGGTGCTATAAACTTTCGGACAAATCTCACAAACGAATTTTTGTGGGCCGTCTGAGCTATGATTATTTGTGATATGCTTGTTCAGAGTAGATTTCCAAGCGAAAGACATTCCACAATCTTTACAATGAAATTTTTGTTGATCTGTAAAATGTATGCCAATATGCTGTTTATAATTATAAGCTGTTGAGAATGCTTTCTTGCATACCGAGCATTGAAACCTTTTTGAGATGGTTTTTGATTTCTTAGACTCTTCTGATGTTTTAACACAGTTCTTATTACTTACAATTTCAGTAAGAGTTATATCTGTAGACAAATTACTGCTAACTGTACATCCTTCGATATTCTCTATGCCTCGGCTGCTATTTATATTTTCTTCTACTGATATATTATTCTCGACATACGTAAAGAAATCTGATTTATTTTTAGGGCAATCTGCCATTTTATTACTATCTTGTAAAATGTTTGAACAATCATCTTTGAGATTATTGGCTTGTATGAAATCTTGATTAGTCTCCTGCTCGATTTGAGAATCCTGCAAGAGTTCCAACAACTGTTCACCATCATTCTGAATCAATCGTACCATCGAGAGTTCTTTGTATCCTGAGGATTCTATGCCGATATCGGCAACTTCCACGAACTCCAAAAATTTTTCATTGCAATTTTCATAATTCAATTTTTCAAACGCTTCGAGATTAGTCTCAACGTACTTGTCGAAGTCTACGTGTGATTCGTTTTCCAGTAATTCCAAATTCCCGGAATTGTAAACTTCCATATCTTTTTCCTGCATATTATTTGCGCACTCGTGATCTTTCGAATCTTGTTTGAAATATTCAGGTTCATCATGACATAGGATGGTACAATTTTTTTCCTCTCTATGAAAATCGAATTGTGTATAATTAAATTCGTTATTTATGTCAACAAGACCATCCAAAGTTTGTTGATCCTCTATCTGATCGCTCTTCTCGCTTTCCTTTGAATTTGAATCCATTTTTTGGCAATCTTTAAAGGCATTTGATGGTTCTTCCATCGTATTTTCCAAATCCTTTGTACACGAAGCGTTCTGCATTTTTTCTACCAAATTGCTTATTATAAATTCATAAAATTGCTCACCGGTTTCCGTTTGTACTAGACGCAACATTGGTTCTTCGTTATTTGATACTGTATTACTAGCACTATTAAAATTTTCTAAATTCTCATTGTGCAATAAGCCTTCCTGATTCTGCGTAGCGACGGGAGTACATATTGTGTCATTGGTAATATTTTCAGAATGATGAGATTTCGTTGTATGATCGAGATTCACATTGGTTAAACTAATGTTATTACAATACTGAGACTCGTCAAATTTTAACATTGCTGAATTAGAGAGTTCCATGCACAACTGATTGTCATCATCTAATGATTTGTTGCATTTTTTCATTTCGCTAATAATCTCTCTACTCATTTGTCTATGCAGAAATTTTGGATCTGTTAAAACTTCACTGGAATTACAAATTTGTAAATTCGTTTCCATATTTAATGAATTTCTCTCGTCATTCATGGAAGATTCTTTGCAAATGTCTCGAGATATACACATATCCGAGTTATCCGTTCTCAAAAAACCTTCATGGTCCTGAGTTTCTGTTTCATTACTAGATTTTTTATCACGAGATAAAAAGGTGAAATTGTTTTTATCAAATTGATATAAATAAGTTATAATATCCTTGGCTTGTGGTTGTTCGTGATTAACTATATCTTGAGAAAAATTGGAAATAACGATGTTATTCATCGATAAGTCAGTAGATCCAAATTTTTCCTCAATCTCAGCGAGAGAATCTTGTGGTATTCGATTTGTATTCTCATTCTCTGCTAAATTACTTTCTTCAAACTTCATATATTTTATGTTAGATATTTATATTCATGTTATAACAACTAAACCTAAAATATCAGGTATTTACCTGCTTAGACGTGACACAAATAATAGTTTCGAATAAACTTGTTTTATTGTCCACATCAATATCGCATTGATCAGAAATTATTTCATTTTTTTGTACATTTGAATCTCTAGCAGTATTCTGGTTAATACATTTTGGCTGCAGATAAGATGTTTCATCATATCCATCTTCAATATTATTACCTAATATCTGAAAAATATATAATAATAATAATAATAATAATAATAATAATAATAATAATAATAATAATAATAATAATAATAATAATAATAATAATGTTATGAACTTTGATACTAATAATATAAAACTGATAAAAACGTTAATAAAATAATAAAAGTAAGATGATTCATTATACCTTGTTTTCTTTCAATGCATGATTGTTGTTGTTTTGTGATTTATTGCTGATAAGACTAGGATTACAATACTGTTGCACAATTTCCTTTGGTATCCCGTGTATCATCTGTTTATGCCTTGCTAGCGAAGACATTTGTGTAAATTTCTTATCACAAATTGAGCACAAATATGGCTTAATCCCTACATTAATATAAATTAGATTACAAGTGCAATGCTTCAAATTATCAATAATAACATAAGACTGAACAATATTAAGAGCTACAGAATAGATCTGCTGAATAAGATCTCACCTGTATGCATTCTACAGTGCCTTATAAGATTCGATATATGACTGAATTTCTTTCCACAGGTCTCGCAAATATAAAAATTTGTTCCTAAATGAGTATTCAAGTGGGTGCGCAGATCTCCCTTGCGAAAGAAGCCTTTCCCACATATCTGGCATACTTGAGATCTTTCTCCTAGATGTATGCTCCGACGATGATAATCCAATTGTGAAGCACGATCGAAGGTCGAGTCGCATTGGAGACATTTGAAAATTTTCAGCATATTATGAACGGTGCACTTTTGCAATTCTGCTGTTAACCGTAAATGAAATCATGTTATTTTCTCGTTCAGTAATAAATGGCATTCGTTAGAATATAAAAGCAGTGCAACGTTTACCTGGTTTCTGTATATCTGACAATATATTCGTTTCCATAAAACGCCGACTTATTTTTTACACGGATTTAATTTTAATCGAAATTTCTTTTGGGTTCTTTTGGGCCGAGTGTTCAAATACGCAAAACAAAATCTTATACTTGTAACATGTAATCTATTAATGTTGTTACAACACTTCGCATGACGCTTCATTTCTAACCTTCGAATATTAAGAGCAATGTAATCAAAACATGTTGGGTGTATTTTTAATATTCATCCGGTCCAAAAATTTTCTATCTTTTAACCAATCAACAAGTTCAACAATTTTCATGTTAATTCGCATGCAATCTAGTAAATTACTAGAAATGTGCCGTACATCTCGTAACAGTAAAGTTTAATTGCAAAGAACATACCTATATTTTTCATATATAGCTACACAAGGAACAAACTTACGCACTGTAGCAATTTAATATACGATGTTGTCGCTAGAGTACGTAGATCAATAATTTTTTCTCGTTAACATTTTTTTATGAAATCATTTCTATTTATAGCAAAATAGAAAGAGGAAGACTTAGTTCATTGCATTGTGTGGAAAAATGAAACTATAACCTAACCTGGGGGGGGTCAACTAGTGAGCTCACGGCTAGTTGTAAAAAAACAACAGTGAGTCAGTTTTTGCAATGCAATGTTTAATTTTATATTATTTCATAGTTTGTTGCTGAATAACTGTCCTTTTAAATTATTAATGTTATAAGAAAATTTTAGAATATTGATCTTACGCCATAAAGGAAATAGAGAATCATTTCATTTAATGGATGTTTATTAATACAATTATAAAGTTGTCAAATTATTGTTTTTAAATTGTTGATTTTAAAAATATTCAAAAATATATTTTTATTTGTTTATTTATTTTTATTGTACTATATCTCTACATCATAATAATTATTATATCATACTTTTTATTTTTTGTCATTTTCGATGTCAAGAAGAGATTAAAGAAGACCAAAAGAATATTATCACTGTTATATTATGACAGAGGAAAAATGTATAGTGACGCACATGTCACATCATGTGCAACAAAGATTATGTCAAACTCGACCACCTTACAGGCAAGGAAAAAATTGACAGCAGTCAAGGTAGTGTTGGAGACTTGTATCCTACTCTATATAAAATAAAATCAAATTTGTTTACTTTCATTATCTTTAATTAGAATTAATGTATTTATAACATTAGATTAGGTAAAAAGGCAATATCTAGATAGCCAAATAAAATTTTGTAGCCAAGTAAAATTTTTTACAATGTTATTATTTTACAATGTTATTATTAGTATCTATCCTAATTATATAAAAAATATACAATATTATTTTCAACATTTCTGTTAATCTTTTGAACTATGTCAACAATTTTGTAAAATATTAATTTATCTTATATCTTATATATCCTTTAAACTGTAAGTATTTCAATTATACTTGAAATTGTATTACAAAGTATATTACTGAATATAATAAATAGTAAATATTAGTTAAGTTTTATTTTAAATTAATTTCAAGAATGCAATTGTGTGCACACTTGATATTTCCTTGATGTATTAGCTCTGTGTAACAGGTTTACACAATTAATGATGAATCACAGCATTTGCTAATATGTGGAGTACCACAGTTAAAATTAGTGGAAGAAGTGGGAAAACTTGTTTATCCTTATGGCGATGTAAAGGCAATTCAATTGGTGACTGAATATCCATCTGAAGAATTTACAGAAACATATCATGTGCATTATATGCATATTCAAAGCGCAAGGTATGTATGTATATATTTGTTTCAAGAAAAACATAACACTTATAAAACAAAAGAATTTGCACGAAGAAACCAAATTATTTAAATAATTTTTTTTACACAGAATAGCAAAACGCTCGATTGATAATAAGAACTTTTTTGGCGGGATTTTGCATGTTTTTTATGTTCCTGAATTAGAAACTCTAGCAGAAACAAAAGCAAAACTTTTGCAACGTCGTAAAGATGTAGCAAAGCAAATAAAAAGAAACCAGCAGGATTTAACAAATCCAGAAATAGATAAATTTATTCCACGGTATGCTTAAATATTATTATTAATGTATTAATTATTATTTATGTGAAAATATTAAATGTATAATCTTTCATATATGAAATGTTCAATCTTTATATGATATATGAAATATAATTGTAGAGAACAATATCATAGAAAAAAGAAAACTCCTGCTCTACCTCTTACCGAAGAACGACTTGAGCACTGTTATCCTGGAGAAACGTTGTCATCTATTTGTGATGGAATACCTCAAAACATAGATCCACGACCTGTATCAGAACCTCGCTTGCCGACACATTGGAAGAGTGATTGTAATAGCAGCACTAGTTCAAAATCATTTCCAGCACCGTATCACTCGACTGAACCAGTGATACAGATGGGAATTCAGCAAGCAAATAAAAATTTAATGTCGAATAAGCGAAAATGGAAAAATTATAAAGGACACAATGTTAAGAACGATGTGAAAGTTAAAATTGTCCAGCCACGATTGATAGATACCAGAAATATCGCGAGATCAAATGCTACTGACAAAACGAATGTATTTTGTAATGTAAAGAAAGAAAATGAAATCACAATCAAGTTGTTGAAAAAATCTGATAATGACAAAAAGAAGATAGTTATAAAAAATCCAAGGTAATATTTATTCCCGACATATACAGGATATTCTAAAATTTTTACGTTTTTTAAATATAGCACAAATGGATTTTACTTTAGCTGCATGTTTTAAAACAAATAGTTAATGATAAGTACAAACCATAAATCACAATGCAAACGGTAAAAAAACAATATTTTTTGGGATGTATATTCTATATATCTTACACATTATAAATTTTGTATATCTTTTTTAACATATCTAATTTCTTTCACCTGTATTTTTCAGTGTAACATCTTTAGTAAAACTTAGCGAAGATCTTCAATTATCGATTCAAGCAGCAAAAACTGAAATTCGTACAGTAATGCAGAAGAAACTGAATACTTAAACAAATATAGGATATTTTATGAAAAATCATTTTTTTAGATAATTTCATTTATTTTAATACGAAAATTAAATGACATTTTATTTGCAATTAATAAGCTAAGATGAATGCCATTATTGCCCTTTCTATCCTATCCTTATCTTAAAATAAATTGGCTAATTTGAATATATTTAAATAAAAATTGTGGAATTCGGATCCCATTGATTCCCATTTCTAGTTTTCACATACATCTGATACGGCGGAGTATTCTCTTGCTGTGTTCTAGTAGATGCAGGCTTGTTTCTCAAACATTCTTGCGGCTTCTTTTGTATTTGACTATTATTAGATCGATTGCCAAGAGGTGTGCGATTCTAAAAAGAAAATTATTAATATCTGTAAACATTGATTTTATATACGTATATATAACATTATACTATTACCTCACGCATTTCAATCCCCCGTTTGTTTTCAGGAGTAACAACTATTTTTTCATTTAGCATAAGTTTGACATCTGTTTTGGCATTCTTCTTTCTTTTTCTTCTGTATATTCCTTTCTCCGATTGTCCGTTTTTATCTTTATTTGCTTTGTTAAAGGAGTACTAATCGTAGTACATTCATCAAACGTTATAATTATATCTTCTCTCGAAATTTTTTCTTGTGGTAATTCTTTCTTATCCTCCTTACCTGATACACTTTCCTCCTCCTCCCCCGATGATGGGTCATACAACTCAATCTTATCGTCATATTTTGTCTTCATGTTAGATTCAATTTTGTTATTATCTTGCTTTTCTGTCTCATCTTTACTTTCCTCGCTACCGGTTGCAACTGTCTGTTCGTCCGAGATCAACGATTTTTTTTTCTCATTTGCATATTTCGGATTTTTAATAACTGTGATTTCCGTTTCACTTTTAGAAATGCTTAAATCAGAATCATTCTGGAATGTGCTAGCTATTTCTTCTTGCTTCTCCGTAATGTCTAATGTTTTTAGATTTTTTGAGATAGTATCAGATGACAATTCCATTTTTGGAATACTAAGTGATACTTCTATTCCCTGACAAGAGTCTTTCGGATTGTAAATATCTGTTTCATAACTGCCTCTACGACTCAAACTTTCTTGCGACCGTGCCTTGATTAATGCAAGGGACCTTGGCATTAAAATAGGTGTTCTGTCAAAATCTGCTGCTGGAGATCTAGGATCCAATCCCAAAACAATAAAACGTTCCTCATCTATCGACGAAACTGTTTTCAAATTTTTTATAATATTAGCATTTGGTGTTGAATAATCCTGTGCGTCATCCTGCAAAATGTACATTGCAACATACTTTCTTCTGAAAGGTGCTTCTGCAGAATATACTCGCAAGACTAATATTTTATCCATGCATATAACATTGCATATAACATATGCATAAAACATTGACTTTGCATATTAAATAGTATTATTAATACACAGATCAAGAAATTGATTATCTTAATCTTTTTTCTACATATGTAAGAAAAATATATAAAAGAATTATAGTAACATACCGATTCAGATTGCTGATCACTACCTACTGATTTTAGTATAAAACGTTTCTTTGGTGTTAGTGGTGGCATTACCATATCCATATTAGTTTCGAGATATTGTTTCTTCTGCAAATATTTTGGGATTGCACTAGGCGCTTGTTTAGTCACTCCAACTAGGGTATCTTTGACCTATTCAAATATTAAAATATATTATTTAAATTCTTCTATGAAGTATACAAACTGAATGTAAATAATTTGTTAAAAGACATTTTTATGTTATTAAATTATTAATAGAATCTTACTTCAATAGGAGTTCTTTTAATCCCTGCAGAGACTGAACGTGGATCAACTAACACTTTTCTTTCAAATAATATTGGTGTATTCATACTAACATCTTCTACAGTTGCTTGCTGCGCAATTACTGAAGGGTCAGTGCTTTCTTTTCGGTTTTCATTGGTATAAAATAACAACTTGCTCGCATAATTGCCCATAATTGAACAGATGATCAAAACGAAATTAGTTGTTAAAAACTACTCTTTCCTGCAAGTAAATCAAGCAACAAAAATATAAAATCCCTCTTTACATATTATTTATATTGATAAAAAGAGTTTTTATTAATAGAAAATTTATTAATAGAAATTAATGCATATTCAACAAACTGATATAATTGCGATTAAATATTTAGGTAAAATGATTGTGCGAAAATATGACGTACGTGTGGAGAAAGCTGATTTCCGTTTTCCAAAAGACTCATATTATTCTCTTAATAATTATTAATTATATTTATTCTTAACAATTATTTTTATCTCGTGTTTATCTCTCATTTAGTTAAAACAAGTAACATAATGAAATAATTGTTTAATATAAACAGTACTTACGTAATCAATATTAGGATTCAATTATCGTTCAATATACATAAACACGTTTTTCTAAAGCCAATCAGCAGTTTTTAAATCGCTGTTTACTTTCAAAATCAAAACTGACAAACGTTCAAACAGTACCAACATGTGAGAATCACACATTGCCAACGTATTATCATAGATAATTCACTAGGAAATTCCTAAATGCCGGCCAATCGAAATGGATGTGTCCAATAGCAAAGTATCATGCTATTTTTGTTACAAATTTTTAGTGCGCATGCGCCAGTTTGTAACACAAAAAAGATGGCTGCATCCATATGTTTATCATAACCTAATTTAATACGAAGTCAATATTCTTGTTAGTTTTTATTACTTTTTAGTGGATAGAATAATATTAAGTAATATGTGACATTACTTTTTTTTAATGCACTTTTTATTATTTATATAAAATGCTTCTGTAGTTTCTGCTTGATTTTTGCTGCAGCAATTTATTGATAACTGACATTGATAACTGATTGGTAGGATATAAATTTAATGATTAAATATAATTGCTGGATAATTTGTCTCAATATTCTAACTAAATCTGCTACTAACATATTACTAATATTTTTCATGTTTTTGGATTACAGATATTTCTATTAGAAATTAATAATGAAAAAAGTGAATGAGCAAACTGATTCATCAAGTTCAGAGGATGAAACATCCACAAATAGTCTGAAAGAAGCGATCGACCAAGAATTTTTAAGCAATGATCTGTATAGCGTGAAAAAGAACAAAATTATTCCTCAATCTGGTAAGCAAGACTAATTTTACTTTGATCATATTTTGATATTTATAAAATAAATGGATGTATCTATATAAGCTTCTTTAATAATTGTAGAGATATTACAGTATGCTAATTATTTTTTATATTAGAAGAAGTAAAGACAAACAAGTTTGATGAGAAGTCCTTAAGAAGCTCAAAGCAAGAGGATCAATTCACAAACTTTGGTTTTACCGCTACATTTCAGAGTTTTGTTGCCAAGAAACTAGATGAAATTTTAGAGCGGTAAGCATCACATATCTTAAACATTACAATGATTATATAAAGATTTCTATTTTTAATAAATTATTATGTTGCAAATATAAATGTCAATTTTAGAAATATAGAATTTGAAAGCAGTGAAACAATTGGCTGTTGCGGCAATCAGAAGCAGAAGAAGAACAAGAATTCTGGAATAAAACTTTTAAGTACGTCAAAAAAATTTTTAAGAAGTGCAGAAGTAACAAAAAAATATATAAAGCACAAGAAACCTAAAGAAAGTAAACAAATTCTGGAAGACGAGAAGGCTTTATTGAAATTTCGAGAGGCTGCTGTTGATTCAGAACGCATATTAAACAAATCAGATACAAAAGCTTGGGTCAATAGACGTCCAGAACCAGAATTTAAATATAAAAGATTAAAAAATGGTACTTTAGTCGAGATATAAGATTATCTTCCTATTTGCATTTGTGTGTGTATATATATATAAATATAAAGATAAGATTCTATTTTCAATAATTTTCTTATTTTTATTTTTCTCGACACACATGTCTTCTCTTCTTCTAATGGATTGTATTTAATTTCTTACAATTCTAACCATTTTTATTTATCAGTATTTTTATTTTCGTCTATAATTGATCTTTCTAATAATATTATACGTAAAAAATAAGTCTATATTTCAATCTACTTTCATCCATTGTGTAACTTCATTTCTTATTACTTCCTGTTCTCCTTCTTTTATGCAAAAACAACTAGGTGAGTGGTTTTAATCCTTTTTATTGCAATATATTATAGACGTCATTGTATTTACGTATTGTAAATACATCATTGTATTTCGATAAATACATCAAGTAAAAGGGTTTTATTTGACAAGTTTTCATTTTTTTTTCTCTTTCAGACTGTTAAAGCGCGTTACGATGTAACGTACAATATATGTTCATATAATATATCGCGGAGTGTTCACTTTTACCGCCAACCATAACACGAATTTTATTATCTTTAATAGATACTCTTTTTTTTTTTTATCGCGCTTTCGTTTTCTTTCACCTAGAGATTAAATATTGTACAAAATGAAGATCCGTAAATTGTTAATAGAACTATATGATATATGCGTACGCTGGATCGCGATAGTTTGCGCATCCCATTTTCTTTGTTCCACAATTTCATATTCCAAAAAACTATTTTATAGTTTTTCCTATAGTATCCCTACTATTATGACACGTCGTTCAACAAACGGTGAGAAAAATCGAAGTGGGGAAAAAGAACTATAAATCGTCGCTTATAAAATCTCTTGAAATCAACGCTACTGAATTATCTAGCTTCATTTTGCAACAATTCTCTCGACTATTCTCTTACAGATACTTTACATACGCAAAAGCAGAGATCTTTTTACTCTGAGAGACTGAAACGCAAAGATAATTGCGGATTATTATAATTAGACTGCTATTCTTTGTATAAGCCTAAACGGTATACAGGTCGCTCGAAATCATCGCACTAACCATATTCTCTAAATGAATTACGCGATAAATTTAGGATTCTAATTTAGGATTCTTTCGGCGCGAATGCAATAGAAAAGTGTCATTCGTCCCAACTTGTCATCTTCTTCGCTTCTAATCAAATTAGGTCTCTATTAAATTTGTTAAATTTAAATTAAACAAGAAACAGAATTTGTTATGTTCTTTTAATCGCTTCACTGTCACTATTTTTTTTTTTTTTTTTTTTATCGAGCGCTTTACAGAGAGAAGATGCGATGATTTCGGGGTGCGTTTTGTGGATTGCGCATTATCAAATTTGTGCAAAATTTGCGCGTAAATCTCGCCTGTAAGCACTTCGAGCGTCCCGAATTTCACTCAGCAAATAAAGAAGGCAAATATATTTTAAACGTTATATTTAATATATATCGCGCGAGAACGGGGGCTGGCATCTCTCCTGACTCTCCCGTGTCGGTTTTTTTTCGCACAAACTATATTTCGGCAACGTACGCTCAGAGAAATACAGCGAAGTACAATATACTTCATCGGAACTTATGCGAAACGATAAACACGACCTCCGTCTTAAAAATCCTGTGAAAAATACCAACTCCCTCTTGCGTTCACATTTTTTTTTTGTTTCGTAATATTACAGTGTATTTCTTATTCATAGACAATATTAGATAAGTTCGTAATTATCTTTTGGT